ATATATATATATATATATATATATATATATATATATATATATATATATATATATATATATATATATATATATATATGTCGTACCTAGTAGCCAGAACGCACTTCTCAGCCTACTATGCAAGGCTCAATTTGCATAATAAGCCAAGTTTTCATGAATTAATTGTTTTTTTCGACTACCTAACCTACCTAACCTAACCTAACTTTTTTGGCTACCTAACCTAACCTAACCTATAAAGATAGGTTAGGTTAGGTTAGGTAGGGTCAGTTAGGTTCGGTCATATATCTACGTTAATTTTAACTCCAATAAAAAAACTTTGACCTCATACATAATGAAATGGGTAGCTTTATCATTTCATAAGAAAAAAATTAGAGAAAATATATTAATTCAGGAAAACTTGGCTTATTAGGCAAATCGGGCCATGCATAGTAGGCTGAGAAGTGCATTCTGGCTACTAGGTACGACATATATATATATATGTCCATCATCCTATATGTCGATGGGTGTCGATGCAAAATGAACGAGAAGAGCTGAAACTAGTGAGTACTGTAAACTTTTCCAAAATGATTTGGATAACCTGAGAAATGGCTACTGGATTTCAACACACTCAAGTCTTAGGTGATGGAAACGGGAGCAGGTGACAGGAGACCAAAGGGACAGTACACAATGAAGGGAAACTCTCTCCCTATAACATCTAGAGAACGTAACACCAAACCTAACTCCTGAGGCACATATAAATAGAATAACGACAGCAGCGTACTCTACACTAGCAAAAGTCAGAACCTCCTTCAGGAGCCTAAATAAAGAGGCATTTGGAGCTCTGAACACCACCCAAGTGGGGCCAGACCTAGAGTACACCGCCCTGTAGTGGAACCCACATCTAAATATAACACACAAGACGACTAGAAAAGGTTCAACAGTTTGCAAGTTAGTTCATACTTCCAAAATTGCGCGGGATGGGGTCTGAAGACTGAAGGAGGGAGACACGAGGACCGCAATGAATACCAACAGACCAAGGGGACATGGGTGGAGGGAGGGTGGGAGTTATTAGCGGGGGGGAAAGCGCCAAGCCATTATGACTATATAGCACTGGGAAAGGATCAGGATAAGAATTTAGGATGGGACGAAGGGGGGAAAAGAATGATGTCCAACCACTTATATGGACGGCCGGAGGATTGAACGCCGACTTGCAAGCAGCTAAACCATCGCTCTACCGTCCAGCCCAAATGGTTGGGCCAGGAAGGGAAGGGGGGGGGGTAAGGAGTTCAAGAGCTAAAACCCAATCTTGCAGGCAGAAATAGGTGAGTAGAAATTGGCTGAGTACACACCGCTGCTTCTCTCCACACCACAGTCATACAGAGATGACTCCCACCCGCCTCCCAGCGCCTGGATATCCATACTAATGACCTAATCGCTAGCAGAGAAAAAAAATCAGTTTCTCTCTCTCTCTCTCTCTCTCTCTCTCTCTCTCTCTCTCTCTCTCTCTCTCTCTCTCTCTCTCTCTCTCTCTCTCTCTCTGGTCCACCGCCCCACGTCGCCGACACAGCTTCTTGGGACGGCCAGGCCGTCTATTTGCTGGGTTATTTGCTAAGACAACAGACCAACCCAAACTATGATATTTGAAGTAAGCTTATTTGCAATGTTCAATGCTGTTCTTAAACACTCACCCGCCTTTGTAAGCGCGACTCAAGAGTTTGAGTAAAACAAGTGAAAAAGCGAAACCTCTAACGAGGTGGTTGGGTGGACTACTAACCCCTAACGAGGTGATTGGGTGGACTAGAAACCTCTAACGAGGTGATTGGGTGGACTACTAACCCCTAACGAGGTGATTGGGTGGACTAGAAACCTCTAACGAGGTGATTGGGTGGACTACTAACCCCTAACGAGGTGATTGGGTGGACTAGAAACCCCTAACAAGGTGGTTGGGTGGGCTAGAAACCTCTAACGAGGTGATTGGGTGGACTAGAAACCTCTAACGAGGTGATTGGGTGGACTAGTAACCTCTAACGAGGTGATTGGGTGGACTAGAAACCTCTAACGAGGTGATTGGGTGGACTAGAAACCTCTAACGAGGTGATTGGGTGGACTATAAACCTCTAACGAGGTGATTGGGTGGGCTAGAAACCTCTAGCGAGGTGATTGGGTGGACTAGAAACCTCTAACGAGGTGATTGAGTGGACTAGTAACCTCTAACGAGGTGATTGGGTGGACTAGAAACCTCTAACGAGGTGATTGGGTGGACTAGTAACCTCTAATGAGGTGATTGGGTGGACTAGAAACCTCTAACGAGGTGATTGGGTGGGCTAGAAACCTCTAACGAGGTGATTGGGTGGACCAGGAACCTCTAACGAGGTGATTGGGTGGACTAGAAACCTCTAACGAGGTGATTGGGTGGACTAGAAACCTCTAATGAGGTGATCGGGTGGGCTAGAAACCTCTAACGAGGTGATTGGGTGGACTAGAAACCTCTAACGAGGTGATTGGGTGGACTAGAAACCTCTAACGAGGTGATTGGGTGGACTAGTAACCTCTAACGAGGTGATTGGGTGGACTAGAAACCTCTAACGAGGTGATTGGGTGGACTAGAAACCTCTAACGAGGTGGTTGGGTGGACTAGAAACCTCTAACGAGGTGATTGGGTGGACTAGAAACCTCTAACGAGGTGATTGAGTGGACTAGTAACCTCTAACGAGGTGATTGGGTGGACTAGAAACCTCTAACGAGGTGATTGGGTGGACTAGAAACCTCTAACGAGGTGATTGAGTGGACTAGTAACCTCTAACGAGGTGATTGGGTGGACTAGAAACCTCTAACGAGGTGATTGGGTGGACTAGAAACCTCTAACGAGGTGATTGGGTGGACTAGAAACCTCTAACGAGGAGTTTGGGTGGGCTAGAAACCCCTAATGAGGTGATCGGGTGGGCTAGAAACCCCGTAACGCGGTGATTGGGAATCAGGAACTCACACAATACCGCCCCCCCCCCATTTCCAGAATTGCCCACATATTTACTAGGTTCAAATCCTGAGCCAGCCCACACACTCCTCTAGCCAATCATTACCCCCCCCCCCCCCTCCCTGTCAAGTAACCACCACATCAGGTGACCAATCCATCATTTAACTACCACATCAAGTGACCAATCCATCATTTAACTACCACATCAAGTGACCAATCCATCATTTAACTACCACATCAGGTGACCAATCCATCATTTAACTACCACATCAAGTGACCAATCCATCATTTAACTACCACATCAGGTGACCAATCCATCATTTAACTACCACATCAAGTGACCAATCCATCATTTAACTACCACATCAAGTGACCAATCCATCATTTAGCTACCACATCAAGTAACCACAACATACCAAATAATATACACATGGAAAATACTGGGGGGCCAAGTACCAAATCTACACAGTAAAATAACAACGTACTGGAGTGAACGATATGGAAGAAAATGCAGAATTGAACCAGTGAAGAGCAGAGGTGCCATAGGCACAATCAGAGAACACTGTATAAACATCAGAGGTCCTCGGTTGTTCAACGTCCTACCAGCGACTATAAGAAATATTGCCGGAACAACCGTGGACATCTTCAAGAGAAAACTAGATTGTTTCCTCCAAGGAGTGCCGGACCAACCGGGCTGTGGTGGGTATGTGGGCCTGCGGGCCGCTCCAAGCAACAGCCTGGTGGACCAAACTCCCACAAGTCGAGCCTGGCCTCGGGCCGGGCTTGGGGAGTAGAAGAACTCCCAGAACCCCATCAACCAGGTATCAAGCAAGCTACGATGTATATCTAATGTATATGTATATCTATGTATATACACAAGTATCCACAAGTGGGGAGCCGGTCGGCCGAGCGGACAGCACGCGGGACTTGTGATCCTGTGGTCCTGGGTTCGATCCCAGGCGCCGGCGAGAAACAATGGGCAGAGTTTCTTTCACCCTATGCCCCTGTTACCTAGCAGTAAAATAGGTACCTGGGTGTTAGTCAGCTGTCACGGGCTGCTTCCTGGGGGTGGAGGCCTGGTCGAGGACCGGGCCGCGGGGACACTAAAGCCCCGAAATCATCTCAAGATAACCTCAAGATAACCATGTACTACCTGTATGTACTAGCTATATGTACTATTCTATGTACAAGTTCTATCAATAAATCGAACATTATGTTTGTAAATCACCTATGTATGTACTTTTCTTGAATAAAAATTTAAATTTGAATATACACAATACCCACCTGGGACACCCATTGTAAGGCTGTTGCGATAGCCATATATACAATAGCTATACGATAGATGTCAAAAACCACAGCCACCTAATAACCACTATAGATACCTATTAACTACGATAGCCACCTAATTAATACGATAGCCACCTAATTAATACGATAGCCACGTAACAACTACGATAGCCTGCTAATAATAATTTTAACCACGATAACCAGCTAATAACCACGTAACAACTACGATAGCCAGCTAATAGTCTCTATAACCACGATAGCGAGCTAATAACCACGATAACCACGTAACAACTACGATAGCCCGCTAATAGTCACTATAACCACGATAGCGAGCTAATAACCACGATAACCAGCCAATAATTACGATAGCCATCGAGCAGCAAGAACCACGGCTATTAACCAACCGACGCTCCAAAAGTCCTTGGAAATTACGACTGACTTTAAACAAACACTTATGAGCTGGCCCCGAGTCCCTCGAAATCTTCTGAGGCATGGTAAGTGCACTCTGGGGCTGGAGGAGGAGGAGGAGGAGGAGGAAGAAGGGGGGGAGGAGGAGGAGAAGGAATGAGAGGAGAAAGAGGAGGCAAAGAAGGAGGAGGAGGTGGATAGAGGGCGCCAGGAATAAGGAAAAATTATCTCTCTCTCTCTCTCTCTCTCTCTCTCTCTCTCTCTCTCTCTCTCTCTCTCTCTCTCTCTCTCTCTCTCTCTCTCTCTCTCTCTCTCTCTCTCTCTCTCTCTCTCTCTCTCGCGGGACTAAGACAATATGTGTTTGTTGACGACCATTGGAGAGTGCAAGGACGGAGAGGGAGAGGTAGGGAGAGGTGAGGGAGAGAGAGAGGGGACAGGAGAGGGGCGAAGAGAAAATCTGTTGGCCAACAGATTTTGAATCTGTGATTTGAATCACATTTGAATCTGAGTTGGTCAACGGATAGGGAGAGAGAGAGAGAGGGGGACGTTGGGAAATGTTGTTGTGGGGTTGGGGGGGTGGAAAGTGGTGATGATATGGGGAATGGAAATGTAGGTAAGGGGGGGGGGTAGGTAAGGGGGATGGGTAAGGGGGGAGGGTGGTGGGGGGATCGTGGAGGGTGTTTAGGGCTAACACTCCAGGGACCTGAAGAGCCCTTATGGCTGTTGACTCAAAACACAGTGCTGTCAGTCTGAAACACCAGAGGGTGCTCCTTCCTGTCTTCCTGTCTCTTTCCCTCTGTCTCCCTCCCTCCCTGACTCCTTCCCTCCCTTCACCCTTATCTCCCTCCATCCCTATCTCCCTCCCTGATGACGCCCCGCAGTTGGACGCGACTTGAGGACACGAGAATTAGGGACTTAAGAACACTGAGTCGTCCCACAAGGACGGCCCGAGGAGCCGTATGACCACGACGAGCACGACGACCTGAGCGAGGCAGTAGATAGAGGAACGACCTCGGAGCTGACACGACCTTAAAGAGGTGATGTGATTGAAGGTTTGACCCTTAGTAACATGACCAAAACACTGTCTCTGTAACCAGTAAACACTGTAGCCCAACCCCCACATTCATTCTCATTGTCACCGTTTCAGTATTCTTAGATAAGGCTTTCGTTCCTCTCCGGCTCTTAAGACGCAGCTTCCTGACGTCACCAGCATCCGGCTGGAATTCTGGCTCTACTTATTTATTTTTTTGCGATTGTGTTTTGAATGTAGTCATTCAGCCACGGAGCTCCCGTAAACAAAGCCACGTGATTACACTCAAATTGGCAGTTAACAGGTGGCTATAAGCCTCGTCGCTAGCAATTATTCATCATCTTTACTCGCTAATTACTCACTTTACTCTGGGATTCATGTTTTTTCTTCTTTCCCTGTATTCAACCTTTTCTCTCCAGTTTTAGCCTCTATGCACACCTTTATTGAAACCCATAATCCTACATCCTGTCATCTTAAAAAAGAACGTCGCATTTTGAACGTATGCATTACATAAGGCCAAAATGTTGTCGTACTAGAAAATGAAAGCGTCTGTACCTGATCTTCAGGTGACTTCTACACCTGGTCTTCAGGTGACTTCAACACCTACACCTGCTCTTTAGGTGACTTCAACATCTACACCTGCTCTTCAGGTGACTTCTACACCTGGTCTTCAGGTGACTTCTACACCTGGTCTTCAGGTGACTTCTACACCTGCTCTTCAGGTGACTTCTACACCTGGTCTTCAGGTGACTTCAACACCTACACCTGCTCTTTAGGTGACTTCAACATCTACACCTGCTCTTCAGGTGACTTCTACACCTGGTCTTCAGGTGACTTCTACACCTGGTCTTCAGGTGACTTCTACACCTGCTCTTCAGGTGACTTCAACACCTGCACCTGCTCTTTAGGTGACTTCAACACCTGCACCTGCTCTTCAGGTGACTTCAACACCTACTCCTGTTCTTCAGGTGACTTCAACATCTACACCTGCTCTTCAGGTGACTTCAACATCTACACCTGCTCTTCAGGCGACTTCAACATCTACACCTGCTCTTCAGGTGACTTCAACATCTACACCTGCTCTTCAGGTGACTTCAACATCTACACCTGCTCTTCAGGTGACTTCAACATCTACACCTGCTCTTCAGGTGACTTCAACATCTACACCTGCTCTTCAGGCGACTTCAACATCTACACCTGCTCTTCAGGTGACTTCAACACCTGGTCTTCAGGTGACTTCAACATCTACACCTGCTCTTTAGGTGACTTCAACACCTGGTCTTCAGGTGACTTCAACATCTACACCTGCTCTTCAGGTGACTTCAACACCTGGTCTTCAGGTGACTTCAACATCTACACCTGCTCTTTAGGTGACTTCAACATCTACACCTGCTCTTTAGGTGACTTCAACACCTACACCTGCTCTTTAGGTGACTTCAACACCTGCACCTGCTCTTCAGGTGACTTCAACACATGTTCATTTCTTGTTCTCTTCCTTCTCCTCCTGTTCTCCTTTCACTCTATTCTCATCTGTCTTGTTATTGTTCATGCTTTCTTACATGAAAGCATGAACAATTACAAAAAAATTCGAAATCATCAAAATCAACCTTCAAAATCTAGCATTGCCTGTTGTTGTTTAGTGTGTCACTTCTCCCTTGCTTTCCTGTTAGTGTGATCAATAGAGCTGTGGTGAGAGAGAGAGAGAGAGAGAGAGAGAGAGAGAGAGAGAGAGAGAGAGAGAGAGAGAGAGAGAGAGAGAGAGAGAAGACTTGGTCACCCTCCACAAGGATTACTTAGTCCTTTCTTGGAGAATGTTTCTTGTGGCTCTTATAAGCAGTTGTGTGATGGGTTCTGTGGTGTTCTTCACTGATATTGTTCTCTCTCTCTCTTTCTCTCTCTCTCTCTCTCTCTCTCTCTCTCTCTCTCCTCTCTCTCTCTCTCTCTCTCTCTCTCTCTCTCTCCTCTCTCTCTCTCTCTCTCTCTCTCTCTCTTGGTTGTGAGTTACCTAACCTTCCATGCTGTGTGTCTTTGTTTCTCCTGGCCTGGTGTGTGTGTGTGTACTCATTTGAGCTTGCGGGGGTTGAGCTCTGGCTCTTTGGTCCCGCCTCTCAACCGTCAATCAACTGGTGTACAGGTTCCTGAGTCTACTGGGCTCTATCATATCTACACTTGAAACTGTGTATGGAGTCAGCCTCCACCACATCACTGCCTAATGCATTCCATTTGTCAACCACTCTGACACTAAAAAAAAAATTCTAATATCTCTGTGGCTTTTTTGGGCACTCAATTTCCACCTGTGTCCTCTAGTGCGTGTGCGCCTTGTGTTAAACAGCCTGTCTTTACCCTATAAATTCCTTTGAGAATCTTGTATGTGGTGATCATGTCCCCCCCTAACTCTTCTGTCTTCCAACGAAGTGAGGTTTAATTCCCGTAGTCTCTCCTCGTAGCTCATACCTCTCAGCTCGGGTACTAGTCTGGTGGCAAACCTTTGAACCTTTTCCAGTTTAGTCTTATCCTTGACAAGATATGGACTCCATGCTGGGGCTGCATACTCCAGGATTGGCCTGACATATGTGGTATACAAAGTTCTGAATGATTCCTTACACAAGTTTCTAAATGCCGTTCTTATGTTGGCCAGCCTGGCATATGCCACTGTGTGTGTATGAGAAGAATCTAGTTATCTTCTGGTTATCTAACCGTTTCGGTAATACCTCCCGGGCCTATACCTCCAATCTCAGAGGTCGTCCTTGAAGTGAGGCAGGAGACCCCCAACTTCGTAGGTAGTCCTCGAAGTCACGTGGACGCCACACCTAAATGTCGGCCTCAGAGTAAATCAGAAAACTCCCACACACACACACTTGTAGGTCGTGCTCATTGGTCAGAGAGAGAGAGAGAGAGAGAGAGAGAGAGAGAGAGAGAGAGAGAGAGAGAGAGAGAGAGAGAGAGTGGTCGGTTATTGTGAGACAGCTTGGTCATCGACTTAAGGTGAACCACCCATCTAAAGTGGCAGCGTCACTACCACTATCACCACCACCACCACTATCACCACCACCACCACTATCACCACCACTTACACAACCAATATATAAATCACTTTTGCTACCTCATCTCTACCAAGAATCTCTACCATCTCTACCCTAAAATCCCCCCGAAAACAGTTTCAAATCACAGGCTTCATTCCCATTCCCGAAGCCCCATTCCTAGACCCCCAAGTCCCCATTCCTAGACCCCAAGTCCCCATTCCTAGACCCCCAAGTCCCCATTCCTAGACCCCAAGTCCCCATTCCTAGACCCCAAAGTCCCCATTCCTAGACCCCAAGTCCCCATTCCTAGACCCCCAAGTCCCCATTCCTAGACCCCAAGTCCCCATTCCTAGACCCCAAAATCATACTTATCCCCAAATCATCCCAACTTACAACCCCTCAACCCCAAAACCCCCACCTAAAGTAACCTATCCTCTATCATTTTATCTATCCTATGTCCCCCCGCATCTATCCTCCCCCCTCCCCCATTTACTGATCCATCTATCCTCCCCTTATCCATCCCTCCATCTTCCCCCCCTCCCCCCATCCCCTTCGCTTCCTACCAAGGAAAAATACATTCCCCAACAGCTTCTGGAAGTAATTAAGAATATCGCCACTCCAAAACTTGTTAAAGGTGTTCGCGGAAGAGGGTTTTGAAAGTAAATAGGAAAAGGGGAATGTAGGAGGTGAAAGGAAGGATAACGTAGAAGAGGAAGACAAATGGGGAGTAGAGGAAGGAGTAGTTTGAAGAGATGGTAGATGGTAGAAGTGTAGAAAGTAGCAAAAGATATAGGATGAGATAGCTGTAGGTATGTGTGTGTGAGTGTGAGAGAGCTATGATCGGGTGGTATTAATGAAGGGGTCAGAAGCAGGGGTGTGTGGGGGTGTGTGGGGGTGTGGTGGTGGGGTGTGTGTGTGTGGGGAGGGGAGGGGGAGA